TTCTTCAAACTTCGCAGAAATGAATCTTGATGGAAGTGGAGTATCATTCAAATGTTGAGACAGCTAAAAATTTCGAAGATTTGGGCAAATATCAGCAAATTCAATTTGGAAGAAAACATTAATAATTTTGACAGATTATGCCCCAAAATATTGACAAATTATTTCTTTTTAAAGGCAACTTTCAACAGAAATTAAATGGGAATGCGTTCAAGGGTCCGTTGGGCATCTTTCCAGAAAGTTTGAAGAAATTTCATTTTTTGGCCAAAATTTGAAAAAGTGCAAGGGGTAAGCCTTACATTTTGATCAAATTTGGCCAAAAAAAGACTTTTCTTCAAACTTCGCATTAATGACTCTTGATGGAGGGGGAGTATCATTCAATATTGAGACAGCTATTATTTCGAAGATTTCGGCAAATATAAGCAAAATTTGGAAGAAAACATTAGTAATTTTGACTGATTTTGCCCCAAAATATTGACAAATTATTTCTTTTTAAAGGCAATTTTCAACAGAAATTGAATGGGAATGCGTTCAAGGGTCCGTTGGGCATCTTTCCAGAAAGTTTGCAGCAATTTCATTTTTTGGCCAAAATTGAAAAAAGTGCAAGGGGTTAGCCTTACATTTTGATGAAATTTGGCCAAAAAATGACTTTTCTTCAAACTTCGCAGAAATGAATCTTGATGGAAGTGGAGTATCATTCAAATGTTGAGACAGCTAAAAATTTCGAAGATTTGGGCAAATATCAGCAAATTCAATTTGGAAGAAAACATTAATAATTTTGACAGATTATGCCCCAAAATATTGACAAATTATTTCTTTTTAAAGGCAACTTTCAACAGAAATTAAATGGGAATGCGTTCAAGGGTCCGTTGGGCATCTTTCCAGAAAGTTTGAAGAAATTTCATTTTTTGGCCAAAATTTGAAAAAGTGCAAGGGGTAAGCCTTACATTTTGATCAAATTTGGCCAAAAAAAGACTTTTCTTCAAACTTCGCATTAATGACTCTTGATGGAGGGGGAGTATCATTCAATATTGAGACAGCTATTATTTCGAAGATTTCGGCAAATATAAGCAAAATTTGGAAGAAAACATTAGTAATTTTGACTGATTTTGCCCCAAAATATTGACAAATTATTTCTTTTTAAAGGCAATTTTCAACAGAAATTGAATGGGAATGCGTTCAAGGGTCCGTTGGGCATCTTTCCAGAAAGTTTGCAGCAATTTCATTTTTTGGCCAAAATTGAAAAAAGTGCAAGGGGTTAGCCTTACATTTTGATCAAATTTGGCCAAAAAAAGACTTTTCTTCAAACTTCGCATATATGACTCTTGATGGAAGGGGAGCATCATTCAATATTGAGACAGCTATAACTTCGAAGATTTAGCCAGAAATAAGCAAATTTGGAAGAAAACATCAATAATTTTGACAGATTTTGCCCCAAAATATTAACGCATTATTTCTTTTTAAAGGCAATTTTCTCCAGAAATTCAATGGGAAGGCGTTCAAGGGTCCCTTAAGCATCTTTCCAGAAGGTTTGGAGTAATTTCATTTTTTGGCCAAAATTGAAAAAAGTGCAAGGGGTTAACCTTACATTTTGATGAAATTTGGCCAAAAAATGACTTTTCTTCAAACTTCGCAGAAATGAATCTTGATGGAAGTGGAGTATCATTCAAATGTTGAGACAGCTAAAAATTTCGAAGATTTGGGCAAATATCAGCAAATTCAATTTGGAAGAAAACATTAATAATTTTGACTGATTTTGCCCCAAAATATTGACAAATTATTTCTTTTTAAAGGCAATTTTCAACAGAAATTAAATGGGAATGCGTTCAAGGGTCCGTTGGGCATCTTTCCAGAAAGTTTGAAGAAATTTCATTTTTGGCCAAAATTGAAAAAAGTGCAAGGGGTAAACCTTACATTTTGATCAAATTTGGCCAAAAAAAGACTTTTCTTCAAACTTCGCATTTATGACTCTTGATGGAAGGGGAGTATCATTCAATATTGAGACAGCTTTTATTTCGAAGATTCGGCAAATATAAGCAAAATTTGGAAGAAAACATTAATAATTTTGACTGATTTTGCCCCAAAATATTGACAAATTATTTCTTTTTAAAGGCAATTTTCAACAGAAATTGAATGGGAATGCGTTCAAGGGTCCGTTTGGCATCTTTCCAGAAAGTTGGAAGAAATTTCATTTTTTGGCCAAACTTGAAAAAAGTGCAAAGGGTTAGCCTAACATTTTGATCAAATTTGGCCAAAAAATTGCTTTTCTTCAAACTTCGCATAAATGACTCTTGATGGAAGGGGAGCATCATTCAATATTGAGACAGCTATAATTTCGAAGATTTAGGCAGAAATAAGCAAATTTGGAAGAAAACATCAATAATTTTGACAGATTTTGCCCCAAAATATTAACGCATTATTTCTTTTTAAAGGCAGTTTTCTCCAGAAATTCAATGGGAAGGCGTTCAAGGGTCCCTTAAGCATCTTTCCAGAAAGTTTGGAGTAATTTCATTTTTTGGCCAAAATTGAAAAAAGTGCAAGGGGTTAACCTTACATTTTGATGAAATTTGGCCAAAAAATGACTTTTCTTCAAACTTCGCAGAAATGAATCTTGATGGAAGTGGAGTATCATTCAAATGTTGAGACAGCTAAAAATTTCGAAGATTTGGGCAAATATCAGCAAATTCAATTTGGAAGAAAACATTAATAATTTTGACAGATTATGCCCCAAAATATTGACAAATTATTTCTTTTTAAAGGCAACTTTCAACAGAAATTAAATGGGAATGCGTTCAAGGGTCCGTTGGGCATCTTTCCAGAAAGTTTGAAGAAATTTCATTTTTTGGCCAAAATTTGAAAAAGTGCAAGGGGTTAGCCTTACATTTTGATCAAATTTGGCCAAAAAAAGACTTTTCTTCAAACTTCGCATTAATGACTCTTGATGGAGGGGGAGTATCATTCAATATTGAGACAGCTATTATTTCGAAGATTTCGGCAAATATAAGCAAAATTTGGAAGAAAACATTAGTAATTTTGACTGATTTTGCCCCAAAATATTGACAAATTATTTCTTTTTAAAGGCAATTTTCAACAGAAATTGAATGGGAATGCGTTCAAGGGTCCGTTGGGCATCTTTCCAGAAAGTTTGCAGCAATTTCATTTTTTGGCCAAAATTGAAAAAAGTGCAAGGGGTTAGCCTTACATTTTGATCAAATTTGGCCAAAAAAAGACTTTTCTTCAAACTTCGCATATATGACTCTTGATGGAAGGGGAGCATCATTCAATATTGAGACAGCTATAACTTCGAAGATTTAGCCAGAAATAAGCAAATTTGGAAGAAAACATCAATAATTTTGACAGATTTTGCCCCAAAATATTAACGCATTATTTCTTTTTAAAGGCAATTTTCTCCAGAAATTCAATGGGAAGGCGTTCAAGGGTCCCTTAAGCATCTTTCCAGAAGGTTTGGAGTAATTTCATTTTTTGGCCAAAATTGAAAAAAGTGCAAGGGGTTAACCTTACATTTTGATGAAATTTGGCCAAAAAATGACTTTTCTTCAAACTTCGCAGAAATGAATCTTGATGGAAGTGGAGTATCATTCAAATGTTGAGACAGCTAAAAATTTCGAAGATTTGGGCAAATATCAGCAAATTCAATTTGGAAGAAAACATTAATAATTTTGACTGATTTTGCCCCAAAATATTGACAAATTATTTCTTTTTAAAGGCAATTTTCAACAGAAATTAAATGGGAATGCGTTCAAGGGTCCGTTGGGCATCTTTCCAGAAAGTTTGAAGAAATTTCATTTTTGGCCAAAATTGAAAAAAGTGCAAGGGGTAAACCTTACATTTTGATCAAATTTGGCCAAAAAAAGACTTTTCTTCAAACTTCGCATTAATGACTCTTGATGGAAGGGGAGTATCATTCAATATTGAGACAGCTTTTATTTCGAAGATTCGGCAAATATAAGCAAAATTTGGAAGAAAACATTAATAATTTTGACTGATTTTGCCCCAAAATATTGACAAATTATTTCTTTTTAAAGGCAATTTCAACAGAAATTGAATGGGAATGCGTTCAAGGGTCCGTTTGGCATCTTTCCAGAAAGTTGGAAGAAATTTCATTTTTTGGCCAAACTTGAAAAAAGTGCAAAGGGTTAGCCTAACATTTTGATCAAATTTGGCCAAAAAATTGCTTTTCTTCAAACTTCGCATAAATGACTCTTGATGGAAGGGGAGCATCATTCAATATTGAGACAGCTATAATTTCGAAGATTTAGGCAGAAATAAGCAAATTTGGAAGAAAACATCAATAAAAATTGACTGATTTTGCCCCAAAATATTGACAAATTATTTCTTTTTAAAGGCAATTTTCAACAGAAATTGAATGGGAATGCGTTCAAGGGTCCGTTGGGCATCTTTCCAGAAAGTTTGAAGAAATTTCATTTTTTTGGCCAAAATTGAAAAAAGTGCAAGGGGTTAACCTTACATTTTTGATCAAATTTGGCCAAAAAAAGACTTTTCTTCAAACTTCGCATAAATGACTCTTGATGGATATTGAGACAGCTATAATTTCGAAGATTTTGGGCAAATTTAGTACATTTAGGGCCACCGGTATCAAATGATCGAAAGGTATGCACATCTTGAGTGGGAAAATGTGTGATAGCTTTGCAGTGTGAGAGGTGGCAGTTTTCTGGGGTGTTATCACTTTCATCTTTTTTTAAAAATGGCCGCCAATATACTTGCTATACTGGATTAATTATATGTGGTAACAAGCACATTATGGCTGATAGTACCCAGAAAGCTGCTACCGCTGCAATCCTATCACGTACATGTATATATTTCCCAATTATACAGGAGTGCACACCTTGCCAAAATCACGATGAGCATTATTCCCCTGATTTGACACCGACCAAATCCCCCGGGCTGATGGCTTAAATCTAGAATAATAAAATTGTGACCAAAATACCAAACAAATATAAATACTGACAAAAGACACGGCATTGTACAGTTCTGCAGGGATAACCTCTTTATTTTAAAATTCCAAACAATTAAAATGCTGAAAACTTCAAACGAAAATTCTATTAATTATTTTAAAGTAAAACAGGGGCTGGTCTAATATCATCTTGATTACAGGATTCTGGATAGAGCCTTATTGGTGGACTATGTAGTTTACATCATTAACTAACATTAACAGCTTTCAGTAGTATAAATACAAACCAAAAGTTGCTGTCTTGCGATTGTTTACATCATTAAATAACAGCTTTTAGTAGTACATGTACAAAATACAAGCCAAAAATGTTGCTGTCTTGCGATTTGCAGTTTCAGGGGTTTAAAAGTGGGTTAGTGTACATCTACATCAGAACTGGTTTTTTGTTAACGATTTTATATTTTTTTTGTTTTTGTATTTTTTGCATTGTGTAAAATAATTCACAACTTTTTTTCTTCATTTTTTTTTTTCGTAAATTTTTTTCTCCCATTTTAATACAAGCTGTACATTTCTAGGTGATGCATGCAATATTATTTTCTACAAATGTATCTACACGTGATCAAATTTACAAATGAGGTTGCCTTTGTCCGTTTTCGAAGATATTTATCATTGATGCCAAACGAGACCCTTTTATTTCCCTTCCGAAGTCTTTACAAACGTCAGCCATTGATTTCGATCTGCTTTTGGGCTCAAGCTACAGGAAGCTTTACCCATCATGCAGCGCGAATGACGTCACACTCAAAGAGTGACCGGAAGTCGATCGATGTCAGATACTGCATGCGAACACCTCTCACACAATACTACTCGGTAATAAACTAGCCTAGTTATACAGAGCTCTAACCCACATACACTACGATAACACCGTTTGCCTTTTGCAGCTTTCTCGAAAGGCTGATCAAGTTGAAAGATCGCCCTGCGTGCCATTAATGAGTTCACAAGGTTGGCGGGAGGAAAAGCCTGCAAAATCCGGCTTCGGCCTGCAAACTATTGCAAACTAAACACGAGGATGGATATTGTGCTGTCAATCTATATCCATACACACCAGAATCGGTTATGATCACACAGGATCTCAACAAACTTACTGAAAATGTGAACCACCATCAGATTGTTTGTGAAATACGTACATGATTGTACATACTGGTGCCCTCGTATGCTCTAGTCATTGAAAATGTACATATGTATATATACTACACGACTGACATTGATCCATATTTTTGTTTTACTTGGTAAAAATGTTTTAAAAACACATTGACGTTTTCAAATAGTATTATGCCTTTGCATCAACAAAATCTCAGGTGTTCAAAATTTGAGTAAACACTAACAATTCTGCTAATAATACTTTCTTAATCGCCTTATTTGATGATTTAAAAAATGAATCTCTGTTGTCATGCAAACCCAACATATTATATAAAAACCCAATGAATATACAAAATATAATGGAAAATACAAATAAATAAATACGCCTTTTTTTTAACAATAATTAATGTTCTGTACAGTAAGGATTGAGATGGTAAAAATAAATATGCCCAAGTCGGCAAAATGAAAATAAAGTGCACCTCGTTTTGAATTCTGTGCGATTTACTTTTATGGTACCTTGATTTTTCTTTTGTATTTTTGGAACACTCAAACCACAAATCTAGTGTAATACATGATCCGGTAGATAATGTCTTTCGATTCACTGATGCACAAAATAGTCTCAAGTAGAGTTCATTGAAATGATACTAAACATGATTTTACTTAAAAGTTAAGACTGTTTTCTAAAACGTAATAAGAAACATGTAACGGTAACACAGCTCACAACCAAATAAATAACATCAACCAGAAGTTCATTACAATGCATTGACAATGCCCAATCGACATTTAGCAAGGAACATTTCAGAAAGACATGTAACACACCATTGAGTACTTGCATTGTGTCTTGATAATAAACCTGCACATAAATATTAGTATAAATTGCACGCGAAATGGCATTTATCTAAAGTACAGTTAACCTGGACATATATTTATTTTATTGAGAAAAAACGTAGCCCTTTTTTATGTTAAAGGCACGAGGGATCATTACCCATATTTTGTTCCTTTTCGTTTGAAGCAACAATATTGCTCAGAATGCCATAAGTAAACTGTGGAAGTTTTATCTCCATGGGTACTATAGTACATTTTGAGAAAATAGAGAAAACGTGCCCACTGTTTTTTTTTTTTTACTACATGTACCGTTAATAATTCCGAACGATACCATTCAGGTGGAATAATTTCTCACGGTATTTTGGTATACCAGTCCCCTTCACTTTAAGCGAAGTTTTCACTCACTTTTAAAACTTCGAACATGTCAGTGTAACAATATTTGATCTATTATACTAACCCCTCAAATTATTCATTTCTGAAAATTACAGCAAAAGCCAATGATGTACATTCCCTGTAATCGGTAGGGCCATCTTGGGGCAATGTTCCTCCGTGCCTTGAACGATGTTATTTCAGTGAAATTTGAAGTTTTAAGAGTTCTTCCTTTTTTGTATTCCTGAAGTTTGCAAGCACATATTTTGTGAACACAAATCTAATGAGTTTGTTCTCTTCATTTTGATACAATTATGACTAAGCCTTTTGTTTCTGGTTGTATGTTTTTACTTTATCCGATACACGAACTATATTCCCTTGAATAATAAAGGTTGCGTCGCCTTCTATACATGCACACATAAATGATTTCACGTTGGCACTATTGTAACATTACCACAATTATTTACAGAAAATAACACAAAACAGTTTAATGGAAACTATCAAACAAACACACTGCATGCACTGTAATTTTTAAAATGCACATGTATTATATTAAAGAGCACTTTTTTTCAGTCATCACACACATGGTCGAGAGTTCTACGGGTTTTCCAAAGCATTAATATTTTGTCGCCAAATTTCTGTTCTTAGTTTTCAACTTTTTCCACTTTGGTATTGGTATTTTTAGTATTGGAATAACATTAAATTCCAGCATGTCACAGATATAAAATAGGGAGAAAACCAAAGCATTTACATCTGAAATTCGCATTCGAATGTTTGACAACATATGCACGGTCACATTTTTGATTTTTTTTTTTGGTGTCTGATTTTTTTCTCCTCATTATGACAGAATATTGGCGTTTACATTTTCAAATTATGATATTGGGTTCTGATGTTTTGAAGAGTTTATTTAAAAGAGTTGGAATTTACCAGACAGAGGGAGACCGTCGCAGTTTAGCACACGATTGGGATGCCTGATTATAACTTTCAGCCACTGGTGCATATTGTTAATTATAATAAAAACCTTTGACAGTACAAAAGGCAAGATGCAAATGTGTTAGTGAGTCTCTGCCTGAGATGACTGACCCTGTTTTCACAACACTTAAAAAAATTATTTCTTGTTTCAAGCAAATTAATGCTATACAGGGAAACGGAAAAAAAAAAGAAACCGAATGGCAGGACCAGTTATTTAATGAAGTTCTGCATGTAGCACTTTCAAAATCTAGGATCTGAAAGCCCAATCAATGAGCTTTCTTTTAGTACAAGAATCGTTCAAATCACTCTTGTACTTTTCAAGTAACGAAATTTGAACATAATCACCGTTTTAATTAAAGTTCTGTCCATGGATCACCAAAAGATAATTGTTCTTTCAACAAAACCAATTAATATTGGGATGTATGTGATTTTCATTAAATAATGGACCTGAAATTTGGGTTTCTTTTTTTTTTACTCACCCTGTAGTGAGTGTCTGCCTGAGATGACCGACCCTGTTTATCAAAACACTTTTAATACTTGCATTGCATTCAATGTTGTCGTAATTATAGGTATAGGTGGTGCCGTTTGTTGGGAAAGGCTTTTGGTGATGTTGCACTCCAAGAAAGCCCAGCATCCAGGATTTATGGAAGAAGCACTAGCAACGATCTCGCTAGATTTAATGCTGCAGCTGTTGTGTCTTTTCCTTTGCAACAAAGTGTCATCCTTTCCTGGCCCGCTTGCGTGGTCCCAGTTTGTTCCCTCAGCTTTTTTGCGTTCCTATAGTAGAGCACGGGCTTTTTCTTTTAAAGCAAGGTATGTTCTTATTCTTATTACAGGGCACTTGGCCCGGCCGGTGTGCTCCAGTCCTCACTACATCCCCCCATTCCTACCCATTTCTTCCTCGGTTGGTGAAGAGCCCACTTCAAACGGCGTTACCATTGAATCCGTTCAGCGTGATTGCCCCAGCGGTAGCGCCTTCCAGGGGGGAAGACGGGCGAGACGACACGACGACCCCATCCTCACACGGCATGTATTTGGCGGTCAGTTTGCCCGCAACCTCGCGTTCAACAACTCCGCCGAAGGTGGTATCGTTGGCCTTGTGGACACGCTCAGCGTCCCGGCGGTGCTCGGCGAGAGCTGGACCCCATTCGGCGGTGGGTGTGATCATGGTACGAAGTCTCTGTACCAAAAAAAAAAAAATCGATCAATTGAAAATCGATTTTGGCATGATTAACAATGAAGCTATGTTCATTCCAGCAATCAGAACACCGCTTCTTGACAGAATCGGATTTAAAATTGAGCAAAACATAGTATTGTTCAGTGTTTAACTTCATGCTACTGGTGTTTGCTTTGCTTAATTTCATCATTTCAAAATTAAACTTCCGATATTAAAATGTAACTCACTACATTTTGAAATGTTTCTTAACACTCAAGTACCGGTACCTTCTTCATTATTGTTTTTCTCACAGAAGCTTGGAATTCAATGTGATTTAGAGCCCGAATAATAGAGCTCGGTTTTGTATTAAACATTCTTGCAAGCACTTCTGTTTTTTATCATAAGATCCTGGTTTCAAATCTATCTTTTTGTTGGACCTGAAGGGCCGGCCTGTAATGCCTTCTGTCTGACTCAGTCATGACTAAGTCTTGACTGATCGACTGAGCCGCTGAATATAAATAATGTCCTAAACTGGGTCTTTCAGTCCAACTCAACTAGTGTAGTCTTGTATGTTAAGAATTTAGTAAAAATCAGTTGCATCACTCACATCTCTAACACCACCCTCGGCACGAAGGAACTCCCACACCCAGACAATGGGGATAAAGATGAGCGTGGAAGAGATCATGAGCCAGCCGATGGCGTGGGCCCAAGGCGGGAACTCGTAGTCCTTGGCGGTGGGGTCGGTCCAGGAAATCCAGTTGAACAAGAGGACAAACTGTGGAGAAGAGGGAGAACAAGAATACATCGATTACAAAAAAGAAAGTGGAGGATCATTTCAAACGAAGGAGAAGTGGGCACGTTGATTTAAATTTAGGAAAGAATGGGAACGATTTAAAACGAGGAAGCAATTTGTCATGAAGATTAATTTTAAGCTTGGCAAAAACATGACATCGATTTAAAATGATGAAAAATAACATTCATTTCAGATGAAAGAAATGAACAATCCATTTCACGCTATATATGAGGATAAAATTTTGAACATTGATTTTAGAGTTTGAAAAATGGAGTATATTATTGATATAAAAAGTGGAGGAATTGGTGTGATGACGAAACGCGATTTAATGTTATACTCCACGTTGATTATCGGTTAAGCTTTATTTTATGATTTTTTAAGATCACCAATGAACGATCTACTTACAGAGAGCACACATGGAGTAATGCAACACCAGTTCAGGGGCCACCACTTGAAGAAGATGGAATCCACGACCCGGTCTCCCAGCATGGTGCGGATGTCGTTGGTGAATCGCTTGATGCCGTACAGCCAACCCAGCGCGATGCATTCACTAAGACCGAAGATCAACAGGGCGAAGTCGGCGGCGTACTTGTCCATGAGCCACACCCAGTAATTACCAGCCTAGAAAAATGAGGACAAAAAAAACACATTAACACTCATTCTCAAAGAGAGCAGTTATCTGTTTGATATCCTTTCGGTATCTAATATGATCATTAAGCTTCTTGAATAAGCAAGGAAAGTAACGAATGCGAACCTTTGCGTCTTAGAAAAAAAAACGTCGCTGACAATGAAATGATGTCACTTTTATTACCTGAGTAACAGTGTTCAATCCGAGAAGGAAGCTAACGGTGCAGTATCCGAGAACAACCCACGTCTTTTTGCCCTTCAACTTCTCGGGAAATTGGTCCATGACGGCTGTTACGACAGTCTCGACGATGCAGAACTGGTGGTGAAAATAAAAAAAAGTTATTAAGTTAAGGAGTGCATGGTCACTGTCATCTTGGGGTTTCTTTCGGTTGCAAATTATTTTGGTGGTAGTTTCTTGATTAGTGATATTTTTATACAGGTGATCTTAGTGGCTTGACTGTATAGCTTACTGATACTACCAGAACACTTGCAATTAACGAATTCAAATTTAAATATGCGTTTGAAATACCCGTGACTGGATATGGAAACACGAATTTTTTATCCCAAAGACTGATTGATATTGTGTAAAGGTGAGATGTGATTGGGTTTTTGTTGTTCAAGTCTTTGTCTTGTTTTTAAACTTACCTGGCTGTCGAGTCCGAGAGTCAGCAACATGAAGAAGAACAGGAATGACCAAACAGGAGCAGCGGGGAAATGGAGCACAGCCTCAGGGTAGACGATGAAGGCAAGACCGAAAGCTGTATCAACGAAGAAAAAAGAAAGAAAGCTCGTTAGCACTCTTGGTTGAAACTTGGCACAAACATTGATGTGCCCAACAGGGTACATTGCGTATACGGTACGGCGAGCTTGCTCTCTTGTTATTTAATATAGCTCTATGAATGATGAAAATGTTGTTGGGATTTTGAAACAATTTTCAAAATCAAATATACATTAAACAAAATTGTAGTATCTGCCGCTTTTTACGCTTTGGTAGAAACGCAGCTTACGTTGGCCATTTTTCAAATTCAGACTTTAATAGAAATCAAATAGCCTATAAAAAGAGCTCAGAAGTTTGTGCCGTTTTCTTTTGCACCGTCTTATTTGTTTTGAGTATTAGTTTGTTTTTGAAGCATTTTGTGACTTTTCAAATCAACTTACTTTCGTCGACAACTTGGTCGACAGGTACGTCCAGCTCGTGCGACATATTACCAAGAATCGAGAAGATGACAAAACCGGCCAAGATGCTAGTTCCACAATTCAAAAAGGGAACCACGATGGCATCTCTGTAAAAACAAACATCAATAGAAAATATTATATTATATTCAGACAAAACTTAAGATATTAACTATTTTTTTCCCTTAGTAAGCGAAGGAAAGCTCATTTAAGAAACAAGACTATGCCCTTGCTGGTAAACTGCCAAAAATAGAAAAGGTCCCAATTTCAGACAGTGCCTTTTGTGCGACTGTATCACTTTAGGGGTTTGAAAACAAACAAATTATTATTGACAACAGTATGACAAAATGCAAATTAGATTACGGACTCACCTCAAGCAGTTGTTACGGAATTTATTGTAGGAAGAAAGGGTGATAAGACCTCCCCATGAGGCACTGAGCGAGTAGAAAATCTGCACGGCTGCATCCTTCCACACCTGCGTGCCAAAATGGAACAGTCTCATGAATATTTATGGCAAGTAATACGAACTTTTTATAGCTTGTGCGCACAGACAGTGAGATCGCGTTTCCCGTCAATAAAATTATGCTGGGCGATCCCATTTGATCGTGGAGGTGACATTGCTATTGCAGATCGAACTTTCTGGTTTCCATATGGAGCATGATGGAAATTTCCATCACAGGAGTGGTGAAGGAAGTCGATATTAAAAAAATTGAACAAGTTTCATTTTGTAATATATTCATTTGTTTCCTTGTACATGTACACGAATTCACAAGGAAGACGCATCAGTTTCAACACTCCTATTTTATCCTCAAAGGCCTTGCACATCTTCAGAAATATTAAAATATATAATTAAACTAAAGAGCAGTGACTAGTGAAGATTTTGTGTTAAAAAAAATATTCAGAAATATTCCCTCATTCGATGTTTTCCATTTGAATTGTCTGCTTTTCTTTCTCTCTTCCATGATTTTTGTGTTCAATGCTTTCCCCAGTATTTTCTGTTTTTCTCAATCCTTTTCCCAACATGTTTAAGCCTACATGTAGGTTTGTTTCTGTCCTATTGTTTCCGTGTTTCTCCTCTTTAAATTCGTTGGGCTGTTTGTGTGTTTGTTTGTTTGTTGATTATTTATTTGTTTATACCTTTGCCTCGCCCAGATGGCTCCACCTCGGAGTGACGAAAAATTCAACTCCCTTCCAGTATCCATCCAGCGTGACTCCGCGAATGAGAAGAATGACCAAGACGACATAGGGAAATGTAGCAGTGAAGTAAACGACCTGAACACAAAAAAAGACAACATGATAACAATGATGTAATTCCTTCCAGCTATAGAAGAATAGGGGAATTTTGAAATGGGCAACCAGTCTGAATGGGATTTAGGAATAATCAAGACTGAAAATCTCTTCCCTTCCGTAACAAAAATCGTGACCCCAAACCTGTTTTCAAGGTGTTTTTTTTCTTGTTTTTTTTTTCAAGTCATAATAAGTCTTAAAAAGTAATTTTTTGTGGAATGAAAAAATGAAATTAAATGTAAATTGAGCCGATATTGGACCAACTGCCATTGAAAGTAAAAAAAAAAATGAAATGAAAATTGTTCACGTCATGAGAGATATTTCTGCAGGGTGTTGGTGTGTCGGTCTTGTTTCAAGCAGTTCCGTCATAATCGTCAATTGGCTGCCGTGCACTATTGATGGGTCAGGGCTAGCCATAAAATAAAGTACCGAGCGGGGTCATTACAATAATTTCTGCTGACGACCTTGTTACTTGAACTATGCAGGGACAGCATTGCACAGCCGAAAAGGGTTATGACGCAGATGATGAAATAATTGATTTTTTTTTCAGAGAAAAGAAAGTACCTTTCCAGATGACTTGATGCCCTTGACCAGACAGCCGAAAACAAGAAGCCAGGCCAGGCCCAGGCACAACGCTAGCTGCCAGATGATGTATCCAGAGTCTCCAATATCGCCGGAATCGTGAAGCATCCGATTCCTTTATACCAAAACAAAACAAAACCACACCAAGATGTTAAAATATCACAAACACATTCCACAGAAAGGAACCTTGCTCTCTACATCTAAGCCGTAAATAGAGTCCGTGTATATTTTATCTCGAAGGCATTTTAAAAGGGACATATTGAAAGATGGTAGTCATTAGCCTACATAACTATTTTCTGAAGATGCCGTTTATAGGAGGATATTTTAGAATGTCGTACTATTTTAAGTATTGGTGTTCCGACTTGTTTATATATAACTCAGAAAATGTGCCGCTAAGTTATTTGTAATCAACGCATTCTTCTTTTCGTGAAAACTAGATAACCAAATTAGATCTTGCACAGGCTATCTTCTGAAGATGTCATTAAGAGGGTACTTTAGAATGTCCTACTTTTTCAAGTATATTGGTGTTTGTAGACATGGATAACTCTGAACATGTGCCGCTAAGTTATTTGTAATCAACGCATTCTTCTGTTCATGTTAACTGGATAACCAAATTAGATCTTGCACAGTGTACCCATACATCTTACTGAAAGTGGTGTTACTGTGAGTTGTGTGTTAGTAAATTTTGCATGGTGATGTAGAAGTTGTATACGAGTTCAAGACCCTTACCTGTAGAATTCCTCGCTCGGGCGTATCCTCATTTCTTTCAAGGGATCGACGTAGTCGGTGAGGTTACCATCTTCGGTGACGTTGTACTCGGCCAGCTCGACCGTAGTCAGGTTGCCTATGTCCTCGCAGGTGTTGTTGACAGTCATAATGCCGCCATTGGCCAGACAATCCTTGACCAGGTCGCTGCAGTAGGGGGTGTTCCACTCGTGGCCGCACCCTGCCCAGGGCAGGCTGGTGGTCAGCGATTGGAACATGTAATACAGGGTGTAGGTGATGACCACGTTGTAGTAGATGCCCACCCAGGCGGAGACGATCACCATGCCTATCCCAACACCTGATTTGACGGGCAAAAAAACAGAAGAATAGTCATTATAAGAAAGACGGGTTTTACTTTTTACATGGAAAAGCTAAAGGAAAGTAAAATCAACTTTTAAAGAAAAAAAATGCGTTGTTTTGCCTGGCTTTGCTCGCATTTATGAAAACAATTTCCTTTGTGACTTGTGATCAGAAAGTCAGGGTTCGAATCCATGTTGCCTACTATATATAATGTGTTCTTGGGCAAGCTATTTTACCGCATTTGCCTCTCTCAACTCGGGAACATTAAGTGGGTACCCTGCAGCATTATTATGGCTGAGGAATAATCTGCGATGGGCTGACATTCTTTCCAGGGGGAATAAGAAATATTCTCAGTCGTTTCATACCAAGGAAACCGGACATAAACACCGGCCCGATGGGCCGTATTTGGACGAGAAGGGTAATGCTTCTCTTGTATTTTACGACAATGTTTCTCGTATGCAGGCATTTTTTTTCTTTCTATAGTTAAACAGTGGTCTTGAAATTCTGCAAATACCAAGTACGCAATTCGTATAACCTTTCTTAGTGATACAGCTTTCATCTGTATTAACAGGTCAATGAGAGTTGTATTACAAGTTGACAACTTAGCATTTTTTTATTTTTGCAAAAGAAATCCCTTGTTAAAGCGATACAAGAAGACCAATCACGTTTAGATTTAAAATTGTGATGTAGGCCTACAATGTACATGTACTATAATTATGCATTCCGCTACGGAGCTGACGTCAGAGCCTGTATAATTCCCGCCTTATTGTAATCAACGATGCGTTACTCGTGTGGGTAGCGTTTCGCTACAATGACAACCTTCATCTATAGAAAATTGTGCATTTGTTTAGAACTTTTGTAATCAAAAGTGCACTTGCCCTATTCATATCGATATATACCAAGGGCACATCCGTTAGGCAAAAAAAATATTGGCATCATAATCGATGAAAAAAATATGGCAAATTGCCCAAGGCAAACTTGACAAGCAATACATTTTTGTCAATTTACGCGGTATGTTCAATTGTTCATACAAACAAAAGAAAGCGCGCCATTTTTTCAGTGTAAATCGCCAGCGGTTTTGAAACGTGTTCTTTATTTTCTTCTTATAAAGAAGTAACGCCAAATGCTACTAAACCATGGGGAAATGTCTGGTACTACTAATAATGAATAAAATACAATAATAAACATATTATATAGCGCATAAATACAATTAAGTCTCTATGTACTTGTTTTAAGTTGTAGTTTGAATTGTTCAAGGTGCGACAGTTTTGGGAGATTGTTCCATGTAATAGTTTGGGAGCAGTGCATTGGAAGGCACGTTGACCCTTTAGAGTTTGAGAAATACTCAGTGTTTTTGGTTTTGTTTCGGATTTATTGATGATTTTTTTTTTGATTTTTCATTTTTGGATCTATGAGATTGTCCATTAAAAAAGTCTGAAATTTTCATTCAAAAGGTCTGTAATATACATTTCGTTTCTATACTTATGTCTTTCTCTCAGATTCAAAAGGTCTGATCAATTTCAGACAAACAGTCTGAAGAAATCTCCTACCACAGGACCAAGTATTTACCTCTGAACATCGGGACGGAGTTCCAGCAGCGGATGGGCCCATTGCTGCTGTATTGGCCAAAGGCAAGCTCCAAAAAGAAGAGAGGAAGACCAGCAAACAGCAACATGATCAGGTAGGGGATCAAAAACGCTCCTGGAAACAGAAAAATGAACACAGATATTTGTCAAAATTTCATGTCAAGATATGAAGATGATTTTTGACAAACACTCGCTTAATTACACAGTTTGGAAACACGTTAATTCATTTATATTATATCGACATTGTTAACGGCCTTTCAAAAGCATATAGTTTCAGATTCGAACCAGCCAACCGATCCCGCAAGCTCGGTGGTCGAGTGGTAAGACGTCTGCACAAGAAAGCAGAAGGTCGCGGGTTCGAGTCCCGCCCGATTTTGCCAACTTTCACTCGGGATTAGGTAACAGTGTACACAGTATTTATACGTCGGTTACGGGCAAAACCTAATATTTATATTGATTTATAGTTCGAGTTTGAAAGATTCTTTTCAAAAATCGTCGCCCATCCGGCCATGGATTGCTTTAAATTAAGTTGAATTCCATAATGAATTTCTTTAAATTGAATTATTTTCAAAGGGACTGTTTCCCAACCTTGGCCCCCATAGTCACGCGGTAGTTACAAAAACGCCACCTGCCTTTAATGCGAGATTGTTATTGATTTTGTGCCTCTCAAATAGTACAACAGTGTGGGAAAAATTCCTCGAAGGGCATCTCAAAATAACAGAAAAATCCTTGATTAAAGTGGATATTCTCTTTGTTTTCCAAAGGCATTTATGTCCGTCTTTGTGTTTTTTGCCGTACGGCTGTGCAAAAAAGAATACCTTCTCTGGCCCCAAGTTATTCAAATGCGCTCATTTGCATAATTATGCAGCCACAACGGCAGTAATTCAGCCCCGCGGGCGTGACGCAAAACGAGAATGTTTTGACGGAGAGATGCTCTTGTGTTATGTCTTGTACTGTGCAGACGTCTGCATTAGCAATGGCATCACCATGACAACCGACTTCTGAATAATCAGGGGACACGTCTTTAGAACGATTCTGATTAAACCGTTTGTTGTTTACTTCAGCATTTCTTCTTCTTTTTTGTCCAAGATTTATGTTCCGTGTCACATTTAAAGAGATTGCTGTACATTCCTGATACTTTTTTTGTCATATGTTAAAAACAAACGTACGTGCGTCAGAGAGCCACGGGCTTGATTTCGACCGAGACAAGTGGTGATAATTATTACGCAAAAGTGGCGCGTTCAATATTGCAATACGTATAGGCTGATGCCAGAATTGACACACTCGAACGACTAAAATCTAAATAAAAAGAAAAATCGTTTCTTTAGTTTCCCTTCAGTTGTGACAAATGCGCCAAAGATAAATTAAAACATAATCCACGGAAATACACGTCTAGATTTCCTTTTTTGGATAAGCGAAAGCCGACGTGCAAGGTGCAATGGAAAATTCCATCATGTGTGTATACTGCATGGCCCGCGCGCGGCGCTTATAGTAGTCAGTCAAGCCACAGCTTCTCGAGAACCAAGGCCGTTTTGCATCTGATATTCACAATTTCGCTTTCAGTATAGTACAATAATTTAGTACAATATTTAAGAAGGGTTTTGTTATGGCCAAGTTGTCATTAGAATTCATGAAGTAAAACGTCGAAGACGAACTTTTTATCTTCTGTTGGTTTTTTTTTTATTGCGGGGGTGTCCTTTATTGAAAGGAGAGGCACTGTCTGTTTTGCCGCTTAACATCATTGTTAATTAACAAAAGATATCCATGTGAATAACAAGAAAACACATTCGGCTTTTTAAAACATTTCCAGGGATTTTATGATCAAGCGTGCATCATGCGCTCGTTGATGGTGTATGGCGGAAGTCAGGCTTGTCCCCCTCGAGGGCGGTTCGGTTTTTCGGCAAAATACGGAAGATCCGTGGTTTAGGAGCGTGGGGTGGTTTTTTGTTGGACCCCATATTGTGTTTGTTTTTTACAAAAATTGTCCTTGTGAATTTGTGATTGCACTTGTGGTCCAGATGCAAACGAGCAGACGTATTGGCCATTATAAACTGCATGAAATACCGCACGTGTTTGGGCTAGTATTTTTTATACTAAGCCTATGTCATTTTTTTGATCAAATCGGTCATTCAACTCTTTTTTTCCAAGATACAGATGTAAGCTCAATTCTTGGGTCGGCAACAGAGGGATAACAGTTTTTAAAACGTTCTTGTGTATCCTATCTGGCCCTTCAATGTAGGCCTATTGTTTCTCAATATTTTGAATTATCAATAAAATCAAAAGTTCTCATAGTGACAAATTCTCTAACAGCACTTCTCCAACTTTGTGCGACAATTATCACCCAGCGTGTTTCTCGCACAAGACTAAATGATAAACAGTATTTTTAAATATAAAATCGATTTCATTATTATCAATCCCATATTATTTTTTTTTTACAAATCACACACAAACACTTTATAATTGCTTTTAGTTCACATGAATCATTGAAATATGGGGCTAAGCCGGATGAGCCCTCCGCTTTCCAACTTGTGTTTTCACCTCAAAAAAGTCGGCAAAACTTAAACAATAATCAACTCAGGTTACATAAGATCATTAGATCAAATGTCACTGCGATGGCGCCCTCTGGCAGTCGTGCAAACATCCGTTAGGCTAATACATTGACAAATAATGTGTAATTATTTGTTTACTACTTACCCCCTCCGTTGCTGTAGCACAGGTAAGGGAATCGCCAGACATTCCCCAAACCCACGGCGTAGCCGATGCAGGACAAGAGAAATTCGGCATGGTTGCTCCAGTTGCCACGGTCCGTGTTCTCATCCCCACCCTTGGTGAGAGCCACCACGGGGAGGGGCGATGGTGGCCCGCTACCAGGGGCCGGGTACATGGCGAAGCCGGGATCGCCCTGGGACAGAGGTTGAAAACTCTGCAGAAGAAACGAGAAAAAAATAACAGCATCGTCAGAAATCAAAGTCAATTTTTTTTCTCAAATAAGCAATCAGACCATTGTTATAGGCCCATGTACAATTAACAAATAACAACCTTTTTGACTTTATTTTCACATTTTCAAATCTCTTTTGCAATAATAATGGTTAATCCAGGCGTTTTGAATTAGAATTACGTCTGCAAAGGTAACCACAAAAACAGTCCAACCAATTCAAATCATGGACCTAATCTTATCAACATTTTAGTTGCCCCGTTATCAACGCTACAATATGTTATATGTATCCGTAACACAGAATTGGATTCCATGTGAAATTTTCTTTTAAAAACAAAACATATGTACAAAAAAATCCCCTTAAACTCCCTTTCTTTGATCTTTTAAACAAGGAGGAAGTTTCAAGTTAAATTCCTGGTAATTTCGCGGGAAAACTTTGCGGCCAAACGTGACGGAAGCGGAACCAATATAAAATAATACAATTATTGTCAATTTTTCTTATTTCTGTTGATTTTTTTCCTCATCTGCTTTTGCCACTATAATGACTAACGCACTCGTCATCAAAATCAAGAATTCGCCAAGGTCGCAGTGGGAAGACGCTAATGAACTATTCCGGCTAATGTGCGCAGGCGCATGACGAATTCTTATGACGACCGTATGAGAATTCCTTCGCGGTAAACTAGCATTGCCGAAAAGGGGACAAAAAAACCTATCTCAGTCAATCTCGACTGAACAAAAGTGATTGAATACTCGTAAAAATTGCATCTTTTGTGCAAAAGAAAAACAGTTTTCATAATCAATTCTCCGTCTTTCGTGGACAAGTACAAATCCATCAGCCTTGACCTGTTCCGCTGGCCGGCCGTGACTGACCGCACACATCTGCCGCCCAAATCACGCGTATTCAGGAGGCTGACCGCATGCTATCGGGCTAGTGGAGGGAGGATGGAAAAAATTCCAAACATGTTTGTTGGAGGTCATAGCAAGAAAATGATTACTGAGAAACTGAAGTCGGGAACTTTACTGGTTGATGTAGAGCATGTGTAGAGCAATACAAATTCTCCAAGACTTTTGTTGAAGAAATGATACTCGAAACCAGAAGTATACCGGTGTAAAAACTGCGAAATGTTGTTGCAGTTTCTGTATAATTAATGGAACTTTCGACATTACATGTACTTTGTCAGATTGTTTCCTCGTACACTCAGTGCAAAAAAATAATTAGCGCACTTGTTCATTAGTTAAATGTCAAGAAAAAATAGTAGCAGGATCAAACATTTACACAACTTTTAATTGGTGAAGTACAGTATCAAACAAACATTTCGAAATGAATTTTTTTTCAAAGACGATATAGAAATGACTGATACTTAGTGATACGTTTTACACTTGATCATTTATATTTCGCGAGTTTCAACTGTTGTTACTGAGGGCAAGGCTGCACTTTTGTCTGGTGTCAGCAGGGAAAAAAATCATCTTTTCTTTTGTTGTGTTTTGTCCCATTATTATGCTCAGTGTAACAATTTCAAGGTGGGCATTCAAGCAGTTCCGAGAGTTCTGTTGTTGGAAAACGTTTTTCAATGCCGGCCCTCGAGGGCATTTTGTGAACAAAAAAAAAATCGATCTCATTAAAATTTCTGCCGGTTTAGTTGGAAACGTGGAAAGATTCACAAGGCCGTCAACAAAAAAGAGCCTATAAGTTCAATAATTCAGACTGTGATTTTATTCATGGGCAGGGAATCTGAAATTTGGTTTAATTTTTCCGTGAGGCTGGGAAAGAGTCGTCTTTATTTCTTTTCTAATTCTATAAAAAAAATCGAATCTATCAACAGAGATGTTTGTCTTTTGTATATGGTATGACGTACAATTCAACTTGATTATCCGCACAGAAAGGCGACTCATTCTTTGGTTACGTAACAGTAATGTCTTGAGCGGTTAATCTTTTTCCGAGACGACGGGCGGATGTTGACATTTTTGTAATGGAACGCTCGTAGTTGTATAGGAGAATGTGGGCCACTCCTCGCTTTATCATTATGCAAAAATTGTGGTTTGTCCACGTTGCACGCCTTTTAAATACTTAGCGCTTCAGCAAATATGTATGGTATGTCTATACATGGAGGAAGAAATAGTCATAGCGCAGAAAGGACACATAGTGTGGCTTTATAGTTTTTTTTGTGTTGTAACATGTCATATAGCCCTTGTTTTCTAATAAAATGGCGATATACGTACCACTGTTTTATGTCTAGTATGAAGTAAAATTAATTTAATAATACAATGCATGTGCATAAGTGCTAGTAGTATATAGTATGAGCAAAATGAATCAGAAATGATTGAGAGATAGGCCTAAACATGATACACGGGCAGACGGGAGAAATTCCAGGGGTAAAATGTTGAAAATAGTTGCCTGTATTGTTTCAAAATAAAGAGGATTGACAATTCCTGTTAACAAATTATATGCCAATGCAGTGGAATTAAAGGTTTTGTAGTTTTCATCTCGTACGAATGTACTACATGGTGATGATGGTCTCTCGTCTTCACATAATGATAAACGTAACACATCTTGGAAAAACATTACAATAAAGTCTTCCTATTGTATACAAATGAAATGTGCAAACAATGTAAAGAAATACAAATGGGCCTAAAACCTTGCGTAAATAGTAGTATAGCTCTTGTTAATCGGTGCCGGATCCTGCATGAAACAGTCCATGTCGGTGATAGTTTCAAGTTTGTGTTAACATAATGGTTAAGAATATATATCAGAAGGGATATTTACCAAATTATGAATGTTCTTCTGCGTTGATCCTTTGGGTACTGCCATCTTGAAACTATCTTCGGGTTTCGACAACAAAAACCGGTGACGATATCCAGATTTGACGGAATATATTTCCACGAACAAATACTTATCGATTGACAACAATTCTTGGGTTAACTTGTTTTCTCTTTGCGGTGAAAATGAATGAAATTTTTAATAACACTTGGTTAAATTAATTCAAGCAGATTAGATTGTTTTTGTATATTTATAATAATAACTGAGAGAAGGGGAAAAACCGTCCGTTCTCCTTCGCGCCAAATCGTTTTATGAAGCATGGAGCGCGCCTCATCTACCGGCTTTTTTGATAGTAGTTGAACATGTGCCAATGTTTTCATTCATGCGTGGGCCACTGTCATATGCAAATGATATCCGTCATACCTACTGACCAATCAGCATCTTGCTGGCTAATATTCATGAGCCGACACCACGAACAACGCCCACTTAACCTTCGAACTGATCGTGATTCCCACGCGCTCATTGGCCAATGTCATCAATGAACGTTTATTATGTTAATCACAGCCGGTTGATAAATAAATGCACGTGATTCTACGTGTGGAAAATTCCAGGATATTGCTCAGTAGTTTTCCATTGCGGTTAGATCGGCCTGCAATATAGAGAAAGGACACAACGCGCGCCGTGTTTCGTGGAATAAAAACGTAGGCTTTTTGGTACTGGTAGATAATTGCGCACATTTTGTTTTAATATGGTGACAAAATCAACATAATAAGTAACAGATCTTCTAGGAAACTTTGGGCACGTGGGAATAATATGTAAAGTGCCTGCATTTTATACTGCAGCAGTCTTTGGATCCTCATGCTCGTACATGCAAAATAAACATGTGCTCTAATTCGTGTGTATGACCATGGAGGAATTCCTTCTACATGTAATATTCAGACAACTATCAAAAAAGAAAAAGAAAGAATACAAAAAACTACATGTGTAACAGCAGAGAGCTATTCAAAAAGCCCACCCATGCAAAACCAAATTGTGCTTATTCATGGAGGGTGTATTGAACAAAAAAAAACGCCAAAGTGTTCCTTTTTGAGATCGGAATATGTTAATAAAGACAGCAGATGAGATACGAAACACGGAAGAAGAGTTGAGACTGGCAATAATTTTCATGTCGAGATATCATATAGTTTGAGGATATTTCACCAAAAGATATTCGAACCAGCCATACGACAGCTCAAATTATATACGTTTTCAATTAATTTTCAATTTTATTGAAACAAAAGAAATTAATCTGCATGTTCTTCATGCATTCATATATATTAATATAACTGATTAAATTGGATTTTACTCAACACTGCATATAGGACTATTATTGAGCATGTGCGAGAAAAATCGAGCCCCTTTTCCTGCACTCAATTTAGGCCCAGGCTCAGTGATCCGTCGATCGTGATCCGAGTGTTTGTCATGTAACAGAAATAAACTAGTCATAATTAACAGTAAAAAGTCAGTACAATTGAGCAATAAGTAAAATAAGATTCCGTAGGAAAATACTTGGTCATCGTGAACAAAAAAGGCTGTTCAATATAGCGGCTATTTTGTATTGTTTATTTATTTGATGCGCGCGTGACTCATCAATTGTACTTGTAAATATTCATACGTCACGTGCCTGTATACAATTACGCCTCGTGATAATGACTAAATACATGATGAACATTTTTACAGTAAAAATAAACATGTTTCTATTTGAGTAATAATTAGTATGCTTCTCTATTTTTGTATGATTGCTCCGCCTGTAGTGGAATTTTTCTATTTTTTTTTCTCCTTTGATATATATTTTTTAATACATGAAAAATGTCACTGTATACACATACACATAATATTTTGGAGGTGTTCGGGGAATTTGTTTGGGGGGGGGGCAAATTCCCGTTGGGATAAATCATACATCAAGGTAGAATTGAATATTCTACGGTCTTCAAATGAATCATGCACATCATTATGGCCGGACGCTATATAGTTGGCAAAATTCCAGACATCACATGATAATTTGACCTCTGTGATCACGATCGACCACACGGGGTGCAGGTCGGCGTAGCCTCACTGACCAGCCGTCCAGACTGGTTAGTCGTTGTGTTTCTGAGGTTCGTTAATTGGGTCTAGGCCTATAATACTTTTTCTGCTATATGATGAGTATTCATAAGTTTTGTTTTACTGTAGTGGGGCTATAAAATCTCCATGCTAGCACTGCTGTAACCATATAGTTTTTTTTTAACCACTATTCACTGTGATTGTCAATCCAGCTATATAAACACGTAGCCTACACATGTACATGTAACACTATTATAATCAAATTTTATGATTAACGAGAAATAAATGTTATTAATGAAAATATTTGACCTTTCTCTCACAGTTTTCGTGTTACGTGCCCCTCGTGCCGTTTTCACCAGGAGAATTGGTCCCCCGGGGTTTTGCCGCACGTGCACCGCAGCTTTCAGTTGCAGGTGCGTTGTGTCGCTTCCTTTGTCCGATCCGATGCTTTTTAGGATTATTCTATTTCTAAACATATATTATAATTTAAGAGTGTCTCCCTGACCTCCTGCTAAGTTGTTGTATCACCGTTGGAAACAAGTTATTTAACCTACTCAATAAGCCCCTGGGTGGTCATGTGAAAAAAATACTTTCACCTATCTCTGTACCACAAAAACTTAAGAATGAACAGGAAAAACAATCAAATCCATCTAGATTTTTCCGGGGGGGGGGGCTTCAGTAGATGACTGCAAATTCTACCTAAAAAAATTAAAAATCAGGGCTATTTCCCTCCTTTTTTCCCGGTATTTCATAATTAAAAAACTCTTGAAACAGCAAAACTGAATTCCTTGCTAAACTTACAGTAACGATTCACTCACTTAGCCTTCCGAGTCAGGGGACACATTCATCAACTTTCTATATAGGAATATTACAGTCAACTTGAGATTTTGAAAAATTTCAAAAAGTTCAAACAGAAGAGACAAGATTTAAAGCAAAAAAAATATACTAGATTTAAATAAACTAAACTCAGTTGGAAGGTGGTTATTTTTTGGTCAAAAGAGGTAGATACTCCCCCGGCCCATGCACGGCCACACCCCTCCACCATCACCATCAAAGTTTGAGGTATTCTTTCCATTCTAATTTTTCATACTTCCTCTGATAGTACCATGGAGCTCCCCGGTAGTTCGGACGTCATCATAGTACAATTCCATGATTTGGGGGCAAGGGTCACGCAAGGTGAACTTTGTACCAAACAAACGTTATGATTGTTTAGCATATTATGCACGTGAGTAAACGGTGACTATGAATATTATTAACTAACTTTATTTGTCATTCTAAAAAAAACCACTAAACAAACTTGATTGCTTAGCCGATGTTCACGTGAGTGTTCCTAACGGTGACTATGAATTAACTAATTTTTATTTGTCATTCTTTTAAAAATAAAAACGGCAAAGGGTTAAATAAAAAAAGCTTTGTCCTTAACTTTCCACAAACTTTTAAGTATGTTTGTTGTCATCAAAACATTTCCAATCACTCCTTTCAAGGACGGAATTTGTATAACAATTGAGATGCGCTAAAATGAAACCGCTCCAGTGAAATTTGACCATACAACGATCCAACCTGCCTTCGGCTGAACATAGCTGTACTCAGCTGGCTGCAAGTTTGTTTTCTTGTCAAATCTAGGTGTTTTTACAGCATGTTCGGAATCATATTTGGCTGGAGGCTGTTTGATTTTTTGTTGCCCTTTAGAAAATTTGAAGGGATGGTACAAGCTTTACCAATTTTTCTGCCTTTTTTTCCGCACCGTACATTACTAAAAGCATGACATTAGTAATACAGAAACTTTTAGCTATGACTCGACTCGGAGGTGCGATTAGTTTCTGTGAGTGATAATTGTACCTAAAAGTCCCGGTATAGATCTTGGACTCGTGCCAGTGACAGCGATGGAAAACGTCACCGACTTTTACTTTCCCGTCCCCCACAATTTCCCTTCCCCATCAAATTGCTTTCAGTAATATTTCCTGTCATTTCAGATATGAAACAAAAACTAGCCATATTTCGACTAAATGATAAAAATACTGTTTATATATTATTATTTCCCGTCCCCCAAAATTTCCCTTCCCCATCAAACTGCCTTCAGTAATATTTCCTGTCATTTCAGATATGAAACAAAAACTAGCCATATTTCGACTAATAATATTATTTTTTTTGTCAATATGGAAAGATTAAAGTACATCCCGTGCTCTATTTTTTTCTCTCTCTCTCTTAGTTTTTCAACTGGCATGTTTTATTTTCAGCCAAAAAACCTCCGTTTTAATTTTTTTTAAGTTTTTATTTTTTCCATAAGAAGATCTGCCTTATAAGAAGAGCAGACTGATTCCATGCATGTCTGTACACTGTCGATACTGATTCTGGGGCGGGAACCAGCCTACATTGCCAGAAACCGGTAATTTATTGTCGCAATTTCTAAAGTAATAGGCCTTATTAAATAATTAAACGGGGCTGGATTCTTTTGATCGATATCCTCATTCAAAAGTAGATTTTTTTTGTATTGCTATGAAAATAGCAATCTAGAACAGGAAATCTATTGCTCAGGTTGAAACTCGAAAAGAGTAGGGGAATACATGCGAAAAAAAAACAAAGTACAATATTGCTCGAGACAAATTGCCTTTTTTTTGAAAGACAAAGTGGCGAATTATATAACTACACTTTAGGACCGTACACACATTTTTTTTTCATGATAATGCGCAAACAAATCAATACGTAAACATCAGGATTTCAGTAAGAGATCGCTTCAAATATTTGAAACATACTAGCCGATTTATTCTCGAAAGTTATCTTCAGCCTATTTTTTTCGTCGATGCATCACTTCAAGGCTAATAACTAAGCAAGTTAATATTAGAAAAGTAGCAATCGAGTTTTTTTGGTAATTCTCAGAAGATTTAAGCTTGGTTAAGCTAAGGCGAAGTAAAAAAAACAACATATTTCTCGTCCCCGCCCGCTATTTTTGGAGGCCGCCTGGATTTTGTTCAATATCTTTTATTTTTGAAAAATAGTAAAAAAAACACCGAAAAAGTCCACAATTTCATCGGAAAATAAAAAAAACCTGTTCATTGTAGACCAATACAACTCTAAATGACACTGTAAATATGTTCAGTTCTCTTGTCCAACTTGTCTTTCATTTTAAAAGTGTCTTTGAACAGTGGAAACACCAACGGTTGCAGGAAATTTTAAAATGGCGGCCATCTTGAAAAAAAAAATAAAAAATAAAAAATAAAAAGCCCCTCTTCCTCCTTGTTTTCAACAACTCGGACGAGAAACCTG